ATTGCACCAGGGAAGGCGCCCGGTGTGTTTTTTCTATGTTTCATGCAGTGCACGGTATCCCTTGTCTGAAACGGAGCAGCCTTTTTTGGATTGCAAGAAGCTTTTCCTCTGGACCTAAGGAGGGTTCCATTTGGCGCTGGTCTGAACACTGAACAGAGCGTACTTTACTCCTGCTGGCAGAATGGAACTAATATTCTTGGCAGGTAAAATAGATGACACTCCGCCAGGAGGCAGGGGGTGGCTTCATATAGTATATCGGTAATGAAGTGGAATAGAAAAGGAAGAGGCTCACCTGTCTGGGCTGAACGCCAGTAGGAATGTAGAACGCGGACTGTCTGGAAGCTCCACCTTCTAAAAGACAAACACCAGATGACAGTCAAGATGAGCAGAAGACTCGTCAATGAGCAAGCAAGAAATGATTCAACACATGGAACATCACTTGAGATGACAGAACTGTAACGTCCATAGTGAACAGTAAAATTCTGCCTTTCAAGCAGCTAAGACATGGCAGGTAGAATTTTAAGCTGGTTCTCTGAGCACTGGTCCCGATATCTGGTATTAGGGTGGCTCCTTTCCCTTGCAGGGTCCTATGGAGCCACCTTTTGTGTCTGCTGGAAGCTGTGCGAGTCTCCTCCTGTTATTGGCTAGGAGATTGCCATTTTAAAATAGCCAATAGCAGACTGGCTTGTTCCCAGCTGCTGGATGGGACACTTGTCTTCGGCTTTCTAGTGCCGGCAGTTGATCAGAAGAGGGGAGGGAATTGGAAGGCAGTGGTGCAGCAGGGGCAGTTGATCGGAAGGCATGGGGCACGAGGCACAGCGGGCAACAGTGGTCTCTACCAGCCGCTGGGTGCCAGCTGCAGTGGTCTGTGTCCCTCCGATCCCCGCTGACACAGGCGGAGAGAGCAGCAGGGATCGAAGGGGACACAGACCGCAGCATCCAGTGGGCTCCCAGTTGGGAGGAAAATGGGGAGGGGGAGCAGAGCTGATACGCTGGCAGGGGAGAGTGAATAGGCTGACAAAAGCCCAGGTACCAGGGCGCAATTTCTAGTCGGCATGGTGGCCTGGTGCCTAGGATTTGTCGAGCGCTGCATCAAGGTAAAAAACGCCCAGTACCTTTCTGAGGGCACTGAGGGCAGAGGAGCTATAGGCCCCTTCTGCTGCCAAACTCTGACTGCGGGAGCAGGAGGAATAGCTTGTCTATACACAGCAAGGTGTGAGCATGCACGCACAGATGTATCCTCAGCAGACGACTAGCTGATGGAGACCCCCGCAAGCACGGGGAAGGGCCAGTGGTAAGGGGACAACTAAAGAATGAGGGAAGAAAAAAAAAATGTGGCACTCCTAATTATAAAAAGAAATCGAAAGTGAAGGTTTAATATCACTTTAAGGCGAGTGTTGTATCTAAAAAGAAAAAATATATATATATAAGTTAGTTTTTAGGGTAAGAACACCTTTTCTGTTTAAAAAGAAAACCTCAAACCTTCTTCTTGAACCTGGTTGATTCAGTACTATATATACACTGGACCTATAATTCTACATAGGTCCAGTGTATACCAGTGGCATTTCTACTGCTCCCTGTGCTGCACCTCACACAAACTGCAGGCATGAAGTTCATATGTAATTACTTTAGATCCAGTAAATGAAATGCTGCTAGGTGGGTATTTGTTAAATGAAGATGCAAATGAGTTACCTCAAATAAACCCGGGAATAATTGGCAGTTAGACAGCATGCAGCTAGAATAGCTGATGAGACTACAGTAATAGTACACAATTGGGACATTGTAAAAAAAAAAAAAAAAAAAATCTAACAGCTTGCAAACTTTCAAAGAATCCTTTATAAGAGGAACAAACTTCCTGCTGCCATTAGCGGACCACCTCCTGAGCATGCAGGCTGCCTGGCTGCCACGCCGTTCTTCTGGCTTTAAAACAACAGGTTTCTTTTCTGCTATGCCGAATATAACTGACCGGTCACAGCAAATGTCCAAGAAATTTACTGGCTATTTCCTGGCTATTCCGTTCGGCAGTTGTCAAACAAGCACACCACTAACCCGCCGAGAATCGTACGATTCTCGGCGGGGTTTCCAGCCTGCTTGTTCGACGGAAGACATGCGGTCGTACAATAGAAACGGTCGCACGCCTTCCATACACTTTGCGATTATCGTTTGATCGTGGGATTTCCAGAGATTATCGTACAGTGTATGGGCACCTTCAGTGGCATTCTTGTACAGCAAAGATCTCAACATAAAAACTGCACATGCTCAAACGACAATCTGTCCTTTCGATTGATGAAAATCGGGCACGTGGTGGTGCTGACGAACGTTAATTGCTAACTACATTGGTCTGTGCATGATGGGCTAGTTGGAAGAAAATTGAACGAGGGTGAGATGTCTGGACAAAAGAAATTGGTTTATGGCCACCTTAAGGCTGCAAGCAAATTGGATAAAAGATCTGCAGGAGAGGACAAGGGAGCATGCTTTTAGCTTCTGCGATCAGAGTCAGCAAATACCTTGGCAATTTGGGCCATAAATCCTTACATAACTATGGTTCAAACTTCAACCGAGAATGGAGAGGGCCCAGCCACACCCAGCACAGACAAGGTGGACAGAACAAGCTCTACGATCAGATATCATCATCATTCCAGGCTGCAGATGTCGAGAAATGTTAAAAAGGTATATATATATATATATATATAGATAT